AAAATCAACAGCAGAAAAATCAGCAACAGCAGCAGCCAAATCAACCGCAAAAAAAGCCAGATCAGCAACAACAGCAACCAGACCAACCGCAAAAAAATCCGAATCAGCAAAAATAACCGAACCAAAACCAGCAAAATGACCAACACGCTCAACAGAAATAATATTTTTTCATGTTGAATAATATTATTAAATTCTTAAACTCATTCATTAATTAAATCCAACTAAGAATTTTTTTTGAATTCTTAGTTGGATAGAATTGGAGTTCATTATGACTATCAATGACCATCAAGACGAAAACCCAATCAAGCATGATTGGCGTACGGATTATTCAAACCGCCCATATTACGGCGATATCCAACGAGAACTTCCTGATGTAGATTATGACCGTGATCTTCGTTCAGCCTATGAATTAGGTCAGCATGCCCGTAATGAGCGTGGTACTGATGCACGATTTGAGGATTCAGAAAGTGATCTAAAAGTAAAATGGGAAGAACTAAAGGCTGAATCACGCTTAAAGTGGGAACAAGCCAAACATGCGATTAAAGATGCATGGGACAAAATGTAAGCCAATATAATGATAATGAGCCTTTTAGGCTCATTATCAGCACATCTAAATAATAATTAAATAGGTGGAAAATGGACTTTATAAAAATACTATTAGCTGATACTACATTTACTTTTGCAGCAGAAATTGTACTTCGTAGTGTCTTGATGTACTTCCTGATTATCTTAGTTTTAAGATTTTCTGGTAAACGTGGTGTTAGGCAACTTTCCATCTTTGAAATCGCAATTATTCTTAGTTTAGGATCTGCTGCTGGCGATGCTATGTTCTATGAAGAAGTTCCGATCATACATGCTGTCATCGTTTTTGCAGTAATTATGGCTTTATATCGCTTAACAACTTATTTAATGATGAAATCCGATGCTATTGAGACCGTATTGGAAGGTCGACCAATATACATCGTCAAAAATGGTTTACTGATTGTTGAGGATATTAAGCAAGAAAAGTATTCATACGATGAGTTCTTTGCTGAAATGCGCCAAAAGAAAATAGAGCATCTTGGACAAGTTAAAATGGCACTGCTTGAGACTGATGGCTGCCTAAGCGTGATCCCATATTCTAAAGAAAATATAAAATGGGGCCTTCCTCTGTTTCCCGATGAATACCAAATCGCAGATCATCACAATGTAGATCACTTTTATTCTTGTATGTTGTGTGGTCAAACCCAACATTTAAATCATTTAAATGAAGAATGCCCACGCTGTCAAAATACAAAATGGGCTAAATCCTGTTTGTATTGCGAGGAATATCAAAATTAATAAGCTTTTGTTTTGACTTAGATTAATTCAATATTATTTAAAATGAATAGTTTAAGCGAACAAAAAATACACATTTCTTTACCTTACTCAAAGAGTAAATACTTAAAGTTTATATGGGTATCTTTGATCCAAAAAAGAGTTTTCTGGCAAGTAACTCATATTCGATTGTAGATAACCTATTAAATTGTATAAGCACAAAATATCCGTCAACAAATAAGCCATTAACTTACGTGAAAATAAATACTTATTTTCATAAAACGTTATAAAGCAAATGTATAAGAGAATGTGATATGAAAGAACCAAATACACCAAAAATCGACCAGCTTTCTGAGGAAGCATACGTGGATCCTATAGGTAAAACTCTTACCACTTCTTTAGGTGTTCCCGTAGCTGATAATCAAAATAGTCTAAAAATTAATGAGAAAGGCCCTACTCTTCTCGAGGACTTTCTTCTAAGGGATAAACTTATTCATTTTGATCGTGAGCGTATTCCAGAACGTGTTGTACATGCTCGAGGGGTCGGTGCTCATGGTTACTTTCAAGCTTATACCGGTAATGAAAAATGGACTAAAGCCAAGTTCCTAACGGACACAAATAATCAAACCCCTATCTTTGTCCGTATTTCTACAGTTCAAGGTGGGCGAGGTTCGGCTGATGTCGTTCGAGATGTACGAGGTTTTTCTATAAAATTTTATACTGAAGAAGGAAATTATGATTTGGTGGGGAATAATATCCCTGTCTTCTTCATTCAGGATGCTATTAAATTTCCGGACTTTGTTCATGCAGTAAAACCAGAAGATGCCAATGAAGTTCCAACTGGTCAATCTGCCCATGATACTTTCTGGGATTTTATTTCTTTAAACACCGAAGCATCACATATGACTACTTGGATAATGTCAGATAGAGCAATTCCAAGAAATCTACGCTCTATACAAGGTTTTGGTGTTCATACATTTAGATTGATTAATAAGAATAATGAAGCATTCTTAGTGAAATTCCATTGGACTCCAAAGCAAGGGGTAGCTCAAGTCGTCTGGGATGAAGCCCTAAAAATTAATGGCAAAGATCCCGATTTTCACAGACGTGATCTGTGGGATGCTATTGAGCGTGGCAATTACCCGGAATGGGAATTAGGCGCACAAATTTTCTCTGAAGAAGATGCAAAACAATGGGACTTTGATGTCTTAGATGCTACAAAATTAATCCCAGAAGAACTTGTACCAGTCACTCCACTAGGTAAATTTGTTTTAAACAAAAATACAGATGATTTTTTCGCAGAAACAGAACAAGTTGCTTTTAGTCCTGCAAATATTGTCTCAGGTATAGATTTTAGTAACGATCCCCTTTTACAAGGACGGCTATTTAGCTATACGGATACTCACTTACACAGACTAGGTACGGTAAATTTTAATCAAATTCCAATTAACAAACCCGTTTGTCCTTTTCATACGAATAGACGAGGTGGTTATGCTAATCACGAAGTTTATAAAGGAAAGGCAAATTATGAACCTAATTCTGTTGATGAAAATTGGCCAAGAGTATCACCTAATGACAGTGGTGCCTTCAAGACACATCCTGAAGAAGTACAAGGCAGCAAACTAAGAGTTCGACCAGAAAGTTTCGCTGATCATTTCTCGCAAGCCACAATGCACTACCATAGTTTGGAAAAACATGAACAACAGCATATTAAGGATGCATATTCTTTTGAATTATCTAAGGTTAAATCGGAAGATATCCGCAGACGTGTAGTTTACGCTGTCTTAGCTAATATTGACTTGGACTTAGCTGAATATGTTGCGAAAGAGTTAGGTATTAAAACTCCCCCTAAACAGCAAGATAGTCTGCACCAACCCGTAATTGCATCTTCGAAAAGATTAAGTACCTCATCTTTTCCTGCATCTGATATTAAACAGCGAAAAATTGCCTTGCTCGTTCATAACGGTGTAAATGCGTCATCAATAGATGATATTAAAATATGGGCTGAAGCAGAAAAAGCTATTGTGGAAACTTTAGCACCGAACGCAGCCCCTGTTAAATCTAGTGATGGCAATGAAATACCAGTAGATGGAAGACAAAATGGCGAGCCTTCAGTGACTTATGATGCCGTAATCGTGATTGATGGGAATAATTTAGAAGTATTTAAGGCTGATGGAGTTTCTAAACATTATGTATTAGAGACATATAAACATCTCAAGCCCATTGTTTTCCTGGGTGATAAATGCGCTTTAATAGATGAGTTTCAGCTCACTAAGGATGCAGCTCTATTCTCTACTCAAAATTTTAAAGAGATCCAAGATCAATTCAAACAAGCTATTCAAAATCACCGTTTGTGGGATAGAGAAAAAGTTGTCGCAGCTATTCCAGCATGAATTTATTTGAGATTAAAAGTAGTGTAAGCATTTGATTTCAAAAAGCCCTCGACGAGGGCTTTTTGATCTACTTTTGCTCTTTAAGTGGATTCTCAGGCTCTTCATTTGGTTTTTTCTGAGGATCTGGATTCTGATAGGTTTTCTGATCACCCTTGTCATCGTTTGATTCTTTTTGAGGTTTTGATTCTTTTTGAGGTTTTGATTCTGGATTTTGCTTATTAATCATGTCGGTTCCATCACGTGAAATACTATAATAATAGATATGACATCAGGCTCTATCTATCAATAATAGATATGTTACGCAATACTACCCTGTAAAATAATTAGCACCTTAAATTCATTACAATTTCCCTAAACTATTATGCATTGATCACACCTGATAGTTATAGGTGGCTTTGTTGCACAAACCTACCGATAAAGTCTTATTCAGCAATATAATTTATAAATGAATAAGCCTACACCTAAAATTTATCGTACAACCAATTGGTCATCCTACAATTGCGCTTTGATCAATCGTGGCAATTTGACAATTTGGTTTGATCTGAATACTAAGTGGCATGCACAAGCACAAGGCAAACAAGGTCGAAATCAAACCTATTCTGATATAGCAATTCAGTGCTGTTTAATGATCAAATCTCTATTCCGACTTTTTTTAAATATGGTCACAGGCTTTATACAAAGCCTTATTAAGCTTAGTGGGTTAAGTTGGACAGCACCAGATTACTCCACCCTCTAAAGACGGCAAAAACATATTGATATTGCAATCAGCTATCAAAAAAATCATGAAGGACTATATCTATTAGTAGACTCAACTGGCCTTAATTTTTGGTGAAGGTGAATGGAAACGCAAGAAACACCAACCTGAATATCGTCGGCAATGGCGTAATCTGCATATTGGTATAGATGCTCAAACCCTGCAAATGAGGGCTGTTCAGCTTACAACGAATAATGTCAATGATTCACAAGTCTTGGGTGATCTGATCCATCAAATCCCATCTGATGAACGTATTGATGAATAGTTATACATACAAAAACTATGCCTTTCTTTTAGAAAATTTTTAATTGTTGTAATTATTGAATTTAATTGAATTATTTATACCAAAAAATAAAAAATAGTTATTAATTCTTAAGAAAATATATCATTCACATTCTTTTTCCACCATACATAAATAAGGTTCAAATTGACAATCACACTCATTATTTTTCATTGTTAGAAACAATTGTGCATTATGTTCAGGGTCTATTGGACAAGGTTTTAAACTACCTAGTATTGGCTTACATAAGAAATCTGGCTCTCCAATAAACTTACCTAAACCAGTTTCTTCTATTACTTTACCATCCAGACTCATTGCATAAACAGATAATGGAAAATAACAACCATCAGCTAATTTATTTAAACAACTTATGTCTATACGCTTTCCACGTATATGACCATTAATATCATGCAAGCAAATATCTATATGTTTAGTATCTGGATAGCAGCAAAGATAATTTTTAACTTCTTCTAAAAACAAAGTGCTTTCTAAATTATTTGAAGATTGCGCGTTAAATGGTATTTCAATTCTAATACTTTGCTCTTTATTTTTTAACATGAGTGCAGTGCTCATAATTTCAAACCTTACTAACTTTGATATAAATACGATAGATTAGGATGAGCTTAATGTAACGTAAAAAGATCGTAAATTTTATAAAGTATTTAAAAGAAAGTTATAAAAAATTAGGATGTAGAAAACCTTAACCCTATACCGACTATAGTCGCAATATATTTTGGTTTAACAGCAGAATCTCCAATTTTGGTGCGGAGTTTTTTCACCAAGATTCGAAGATAATGGGTATCTTCTTCATGACTAATACCCCATAACTCGGTCATAATTTGTTTTTGCGTAACAATCTTACCTTGATGGCGAATCAATAGTGCTAACAGTTGAAATTCTTTTTTGCTGAGCACAATTTCTTCCTGAGCAAACGTCACCACATGCTCAGCCACATCCACAGATAATTGACCATCATCAAATACAATATTCTGTTCAGACTGTTGTGGTTTATTACGAAACATCACTCGAATACGAGCGCATAATTCCTGAATGCTAAACGGTTTGGTCACATAATCATTCGCGCCTGCATCGAGCAATTTAATTTTTTGATTTTCATCAGGACGTGCAGATAACACAATCACAGGAATATCTGACCACTGCCTCATCTCGGTCAACACCTGCTGTCCTTCCATATCTGGCAAACCTAAATCTAAAATCAGTAAATCCGCACCTCGTGTTGCCAAAATTTCTAAGCCTTTCATGCCATTTTCAGCAACATGCACCTGATAACCTTGCGCACGTAAAGCAATGTCTAAAAATTTTCGAATTTGAGGTTCATCATCAATAATTAAAATTGATGCATTCGGATAGATTGTTTGCGGCATAAAAGATCATTTAACCCTGATGTAACGGTAATCGTATGCGAATTAAGGTGCCTTGACCATCTGTTCCAGCAAAAGCTTCGATACTGCCCATATGTGCGCCAATAATGGCTTTGACAATCGCCAGCCCTAAACCTGTTCCCGTTTTACCGCGATCGCCACGCTGCATGGTATAAAACATATCAAAGATTTGTTCACGTTCATCTTCAGGAATGCCAATCCCTTGATCGATAATGTCAATTTGCAGAAATTGTTCTTCTTGCTGAATTTTTACTTCAATCGGAACATTATCTGGTGAAAACTTTGCGGCATTTTCCAAGACATTAAAAATGGCTTGTTCAATTAAAGCAGGATGCACATACAATTGAGGAAGTTCTTCAGCCAAAGCAACTTCGATTTTTACCTCATGCTGATAGCGTTTCAGTCGTTGCGTTGCCGAGCCAATCAGTTCATCCACACCAATCCAAGCACGACTTAAAGTCAAACCCTGATGACCTAATCGAGTCATGTCCAACAGGTTTTGAATATAACGATCCAGTCGTTCGCTTTCAGGCATCTCTAGGCAAGATTATCAAGTTGAAATCTTCAAAAGCTTGATACAAAAAACCTATTTTGCTTTCTAATATTTCCACATAATCATCACCTAAGATCAGTTAACTACGCTCTTTTACATGTTGTAATTGAATCTATATTTTTGCATGATCAATGAAACTAAAATTTCCAACATACAACTCATGTTTATTTTGATCACTATACTCTAACTGATTTTTTTGATCTGCATGAATCTTGAAAGAGACAGTCACTACATCACAGTTTTCACAAAAAACTATGCATACTTCACAAGGCATTGATCCCTGATAAACCCTATCCACTTTTGTAATAAGGGAGCAATGCCTTGCTTAATTTCAGCTCCTACTTTTCCTGTTCAAGATTGGGATCATTCTGCTTGCAACCCATGATGACACTCGCCAAGATACAAGTAGTTAATGCTCTTTTTTCATCATAGACATTCTATTACTCTGTTTAATTCAAATTATCCTACTCAGAAAGTCCAATCAAAACGCAATGTTGCTTTAAGCGGTTCACCCGCCTGTACCCAATAGTTTGTATAGCTTGCGACGTAGTAATCTTGATCAAAAAGATTATCAATATTCAGTTGCGCGCGCAGGTCTGGTCGTAGCTGTACATAGCCCCCAATATTAACGATAGTAAAATCAGGAAGACTGGTTCCATTATCAATATAATTTGCACTACGTTTACCGTAGTAATTAATATTGCCAACCAAGCCAGCATCATGTCCTGCAAGGTCAAATTGATAGTCAGCACTTAAGTTTGCCGTATGTTTAGGAATATTTTTAAGCCTTGCGCCCTTATCCTCAACTTCACTTTCTACAATTTCAGCATCTGTATAAGTATAGTTAGCATTAACACGTAGCTTGTCAGTGAATTGATGTTGTAGTTCTAACTCAACACCACGGCTTTGTACTCTTCCGCTATCTACATAGCTATCAGTAATGCCTTCAGTGAGCAGATGTTGTTTTTCCATATCAAAATACGTTAGACCAAACCAACTTTGCGGTAAAAACTTATATTTACCACCCACTTCCCAACTTTCTGTTTTCTCTGGTTCATACAGTTCATTGTCCTTATTCAACCCTGTATTCAGTTCAAATGCCTTCCCCCAGTTACTGTAAAAAGACAACTGCTCAGTGGGCTGATAATTTATCCCTGCACGTGGAGTAAATGGTGTGAAAGCTTGCTTTGATGTCTTTCCAGTTCGATGATCATCAATTTGTTGTTCTAAACGATTAAAACGACCGCCTATCAGTACATTCCATTGATCATTCAAGAAAATTTGATCTTGAACGTTAAACCCAAACATATCTTGAGTTTCTTTTGTATCTTTAGTGATTCGGGTTAATGGCAAAATATTTTGACCGTACACGGGATTATAAATATCAATCTGACTCGAAGCCCCAACAGCACTACGACGTTGCAGTTGATCAATCGTATAATGACCTGCTTCGACATTTGTAACCAGTTCATGTCTGATTACCCCAGTATCAAACTTACCTCTTAAGATAGATTGAAAGTTTGTGGTGTCTGTCTCAAATTGACGGGAGCGGCGGAAGCGATTTGCCGTTCTTCCATCTGATGCAATGGACGAAATTTCGGTTGATGTACCTGCACGCTCACCATGACTATAAGTGATTGCCGTTGTATTGTTCCAATCATCATTAAATTCATGGTTTAAACGTAGTTGATACATTTGATCTTTAATCTCAATATCACCATCGCTTGGCTCACCTAAAAAGGTTTTCTTATTGACTGGAAGTTTCCCATTGACCATCGGTACGCCACGATCAAAAACGCCTTTAGACTCTGAGAACTCAGTATCAAGATTCAACTGGGTTTGCTCAGAAATTTTCCATGCTAATTGTGGTGCAATGTAATAATGCTGATTATCAACATGATCACGGAAGCTTTGATTATTTTCATAGGCTAGCCCAAGGCGATAAGCCAAATCCTGATTAATCGCACCTGTGGTATCTAAAGCTGCTCGATACTCTTCAAGCGTACTTCCGCTCAGACTTAAATTACTTTTTTTCTCCCATTCAGGTTGCATAGTGGTGATATTCATAATCCCCCCTATGGCACCTTGGCCATACATCGCGGCCATTGGGCCTTTCAAGAAATCAATCGCTTGAATGTTCACCATATCTCGTGCGGTATGGATACCACTCACAGAACTCAAACCATTACGCATATAAATCGTACCCATGTTTGGATCGGTACTAAATCCGCGAAATGAGTAATTGTCCCAAAAACCTCCCCCATAACTATCTTGATAAACCACACCATTTACAAACGAAAGCGCATCACTGATACGTTGAACATTATGGTTTTGGATATCTTGTGCTGATACATGTGATTTAGTAAACGGTACTTCTAACAGGTCATGATTGAACTGCGTAATCGCTTGTGAAGAACTATGTCTTTCATCCTGTTTTTCTGCAGTAATCGTGATACTCGGCAGTTGAGCTACAATTTGATTTGAAGCAGATTCATTTTCGGCCGATACAGCGTGGGTTGAAAGTTGAACAAGTAAAATACTCCACGTCAGTGGATGAAATAAAAATTTAGACATAAGTAACTCTGAATGTGTATATGCTGATATAGGGTTATGCAATCTGCTGCTTAAAATTTAAATGTGACACCAAGTTCAACACTTCTTGGTGCACCAATATAAATTTGCTTCGCGGAGTAGCCTGAATACTCACCATAAAATTCATCGGTCAGATTTCGGCCCCATAGTGTAAAAGTCATATTTTTTAGGTCATATGCTAAGGACGCATCGTACGTGGTATGACCATCTACGAAATATGTATTCGCAGTATCTGTGTAGAAACCACTCGCATATTTTGCAAATCCACTCACCGTAATTGGTAAAGTACTAAACTGGTAACTTAATGAGGCATTGGCAACTTTTTCGGGAACATTAATCGGCTGATTGCCTGAACGATTCACACCGCCCGCTTCTATTAATTTCTTGTATTCTGCATCAACCCAAGCCAAACCTAAGCTCGCTTTTAACTGTGGTGTAATCGCAGCAGAGGCTGTAAATTCAGCACCTTTAGAGACCTGCTGTCCTCCCTGAACAGTTAAATTAATATTGTTCGGATCACGAGTTAAAATATCATTTAATTCAATCCAGTAAACTGAACCAATCATGTCCAGCTTGCCGTCTAATACACTCGACTTAAAACCAAGTTCAGCCGATTTACCTTTTGATAAATCGAAACTTCCATTCGCTGTCGAGATCACAAGTAAAGAAGAAACGGGGGTAACCGCTGTACTATATTGACCGTATAGCTGGGTATCTGGAGTTAGATTATAAACACTGCCTATACGCCAAGAGAATGGGTTAAAAGTAGGATTAAATTGCTGCTGACTATCGGTTAGGATGTTATCAATTGTTCGCTCTACATCAAGACGTTCATAGCGTGCCCCACCGACAACAAGCCAATCTGGCGTTATGTTAAAAGCATCCTCTGCAAAAACAGACCAATTCTTAATTTGAGTTGAAAATTTATTGTAACTCGTCCATCCCGCCCAATCACTGGTAGGCATCTCTCCAACATTTGGATGATATGGATCTACAGCGCTGAGGTTGCCACTAGGTCTGGGACTACTAAAATCGGTATAGCTATATTCAGAGCCTATGCTCAGTCGATTACGATACTTCCCTGCAATCAATTGATCATGAACGAAACTGAAGCGATCACTCCATACATCATGATCATGGCTCCAACGCTGTACTGTCCGTTTGAATAGTCCTGTTTGGCTGTCAAAATTTTGTTCTGGAGATAGATAGAATTTTCGATCTGCGTGGTAATACGTTGCAATATTATTCAACGTCCATGATGGCGAAAGGCGATAATCCGTCGACCAAGATAGAGTAGTAGTATCTGCACTTAACTCACCACCGTCTGGATTATAATTTTTATGCCTTGTTGCCTTATCCACGACTAGACCATAAGGATTATCTACGACGTGACTAGGATTTTTGGCTGTCGAAGCTGAAACTAATGGTGAGCCGTTATAGCTTGAAGTTTCTTTGTCATGATCAAAATTTGCTGAAAACAGCATTGATAAATCATCATTCGGTTTATACACCAGACTCATTGCCGCACCGAATTTAGTCGTTTCTTGATCATCAATATCATACAAACTATCTGATTTGAGATAACTCACATCAGAGCGAATAGCCAATTCATCATTTATTGGTAGATTCCCACCTATAGCGACTCTTACTGTATTAAAACTACCGTAGTTAAGCAGCCCTTCCACAGTTTTCTTTTCTAAATTAGGTTTTCGGGTGACTAAATTGACTGCACCGCCTAAAGCACCTTCACCAAAAAGTACAGATGAGGGTCCTTTTAAAACCTCAATCTTTTCATACTTCCAAACATCTAAATCCCTTGTTACGAAGGTAGAAGCCCCCACACGAACGCCATCCTGCAATACCGTGTTGGCATTACCAGAAAAACCACGCATCGTAAGCACAGCGGGGTTACCCGGCACATTACCTACAGTCGCACCTGTCACATTGCCAAATGCCTCTTTAACCGTTCTTAAGCCTTTTTCTTGTAAGTCATCTTGAGTAATAGTTTGAACTGTTGCAGGGGTTTCTTGAGCTGTTAATCCTAAGCGACTCCCCGTTGAGTTGACTTGTTTCAGTTGGAGTGGGTCAGCCGTACTTTGTTTTTGAGCTTCAATCACTAAAACAGGCAATTGCATAGATTGCGCTGAGTTATCTTCAGCATAGCTTAGTTGTAAACCAAGCCCATAAATTGATAGGGCAACAACAGAACGCTGTGCTAAATCAATTAAGGCGTGATTGTGTTTAAGCCCTGTTACTTGAGGCGAAACAATAGAATGATTCCCTTTTAAATAAGGGTTCAATTTGAATTGAGGCATTTCAATTCCTTTTAAGCATAAGTTTCCATTGGAACACTTCATCCATGTTCCATTTACATAAGAGGTTGGAATCTAAGCAAATAAAGGAGGTGCACGCCCCTGAGGCGTTAGAAAAAGTCGCTGGAGAACAAAATAGACATGTTTAAACGCTTTCTGAAACGACATTAAACGAATTTGAATACGATCTAAAATAGGGTTTAGATCAATCTCTAAATTTGCGACCAAATGACCATATGCAGTACAGAACATACATTGATGATCTAACTGATGATGATGTGCGGTTTTTGCGGTTTCTAATTTAATAGCATCAACATCGTGATGGTGTGATACATGCTGATGCTGTAGTTCTTGATTTTGTATCTGAGCTTTTAAATCGGAAATAGTTACGCATACCAGTGAGAATTGAAATTTCTCTGGTAGTAAAGGTTGCATAAAAACGGTTATTTGCAACAACATCGCAACTATCGCAAGGACAAATGCAGCTCTCAATTCAATAGATAAATTGTAAAATCATAATTTACAATACCATTATTACTTTAAGATATCTAATGAGTAAAACTGATGAAATAATTCAATTTAAAAAAATCGAAAATCTTAAAGCACAAAGATTTAGATAATAATCGAATGTGTAATAAATACCCCTACAATGTAGGGAAAATATTATCACCTACTTTACTTTATAAATTTTAATCATTATTTTTTAAAAGCAAAATTAATCATGCACGATTTTAATCTGAATTAATTCAGATTAAAATCAACTACTTAATTATAAAAATATACTTTTCAAATATTTTAAGAAGACAAAATTAAATAAAAATCAAAGTCTTCCAATTTAATACAATGTACTTTTAATAAATATATATTCTGCTACAATCCATTTTCCTTACTTGGATAATTGAGACCATCTAAGTGATCATGGTTTTAGGAAGATTGCTAGCATTCTCTGCAATCTTGTTACAGATTGCTGTGTTTATACAGCCTTTACTTCCAGAGAAATATCAAATTTCTCCTGTCTGTGAAACTATTGTCCATGCACTTCAATTAGATACTTCTCACCATGAGCATAGCTCAGATCATTCTACGCATAATCACTCTCATCAAGAGTTGGATTTAGCTCATCATGATACTGAAAAGCTTAATCATTCATATCTCAAACAAAAAGCTTCATCTAGCCATCATCACGATGCAAATCATCAATGTCAGTACTGTGTAGTTTACGCACATGTCGTTCCACTACCAGACATGGGTGTTAAAGAAGTAGTCGTGAGAATTCAAGTTCGGTTATTAGCTTTTAAAGAAGCTTTCTTTCATATCTTTTTTCTTTTAAAACAATTATTTCTGATCCCTCAAGGTCGAGCACCTCCTGTCTCTTTTGCTGTCTAAATTTATTGGCAATTCCTTATTGTTTTGAAATTTAATTAGTTGAAGAGACTAATCGCTATGTTTTTACTTTTAAAAAATGCACGTATCTGTGTAGGCACACTCATATCAGAGCATATGCAATCTAGAGCATGCTTCGGATGTGGAGAGCTGCTATGACCTTAGGTTTTACGGCACTTGAGTTAGCACGTATTCAGTTTGCATTCACGGTGTCATTTCATATTATTTTCCCTGCGATTTCTATTGGGCTGGCAAGTTTTCTTGCTGTTTTGGAATGGCGATGGCTTAGAACAAACGATTCTATTTATCATGATTTATTCAAATTCTGGGTGAAAGTATTTGCATTATCATTCGGCATGGGTGTCGTTTCTGGTGTCGTGATGAGCTATCAGTTTGGTACAAACTGGAGTGAGTTTTCTCGATTTGCAGGAGGAATAACAGGCCCCTTACTAAGTTATGAAGTTCTAAGTGCCTTCTTCTTAGAGGCTGGATTTTTAGGCATCATGCTTTTTGGATGGGGTCGAGTCGGCAAAAAAGCACACTTTTTTGCCACATTGATGGTCGCCATCGGTACATGTATTTCAATGTTCTGGATTTTGTCTTCAAACAGTTGGATGCAGACACCTCAAGGCTTCACCATTGAAAATGGAATTGTAGTACCTCAAGATTGGTTTGCTATTGTTTTTAACCCGTCCTTTATCTATCGCTTATTCCATATGGCACTTGCAGCCTTTTTAGTGGCAGCTCTTCTTGTTGCTGCTACTGCTGCTTGGCACTTACTCAAAGGCCGTAGAGATGCATTAGTCAAAACATCATTTTCTATGGCACTTTGGTTAATCCTCATTTTAGCTCCCCTCCAAGTTTTTATCGGTGATGCCCATGGTTTAAATACCCTAAAACATCAACCAGCCAAACTTGCTGCTATGGAAGGCCATTGGGAAACGAACCATGATCATGGGATGCCCTTATATTTATTTGGTATTCCTGATATGCAAGAAGAACGCACGAAATATGCGATTGCAATTCCACATTTAGGAAGCCTAATTCTGACCCACTCCATGAATGGGACGGTGAAAGGATTAAAAGACTTTGCGCCTGAAGATCGCCCAAATTCAACAATAGTATTTTGGAGTTTCCGTATCATGGTTGGGCTAGGTATGCTTATGCTCTTCCTTGCAGTCACTGCCCTATGGCTCAGAAAAAAAGGCAGCCTCTATGAGAGTAAGTGGTTTCATCGCTTTGCAATCCTGATGGGCCCTTCAGGCTTCATCGCCTTACTCGCAGGTTGGTTCACCACAGAAGTAGGACGTCAGCCATGGATCATCTATGGCGTTATGAGGACAAAAGATGCCCTTTCTCCTGTTTCGGCGGAACAGGTTGGATTAACGCTGATTATTTTTGTGATCGTGTATTTCATTGTCTTTGGTGTGGGCATTTATTACATGCTCAAACTCATGCATAAAGGACCTGAGTTTTTACATAACGCACCAGAAGAAATTGGAGGCGTTGGTCATTTCAAAACACCAATGCGACCTCTGAGTGCCATTGATGAAAAAATTGATGATCAGGATCAAGGAGCATCTTCATGATTGATTTATCTTTAATCTGGATTGTCATTATTGCAGTTGGTGTTTTTATTTACGTTGTACTTGATGGCTTTGATTTAGGGATAGGGATTTTATTCCCCTTTATTAAAAATCAGCAGGAACGTGATGTCATGATGAACACCGTTGCCCCCGTTTGGGATGGTAATGAGACATGGATGGTTTTAGGTGGTGCTGGTCTTTTTGCGGCTTTCCCTATTGTCTATTCAGCGGTTCTGTCAGCCTTATATTTACCTATCATTTTGATGGTAATAGCTTTGATTTTTAGAGGCGTGGCTTTTGAGTTTCGTTTCAAAGCCAATCGAACAAAGTACATTTGGGATAATGCATTTATTTGGGGCTCTATTGTTGCCAGTTTCTTACAAGGGGTAATCTTAGGCGCTTATATTCAGGGTATTGATATTGTTGATAATCGTTACGCTGGTGGTGGCTTTGACTGGTTAACACCTTTTTCATTATTTACAGGTTTGGGAGTTGTAGTCGTTTATGCAGCATTGGGATGTGGTTGGCTCATCATGAAGACTGATGACGTACTACAAAAGCATATGTATAAATTAATGCCCAAGCTTTTGATTGGCTTATTGGTTATTTTCATTGCTGTCAGCATCTATACGCCAATTGCACATCCACAAATTGCTGAGCGCTGGTTTAATCCCACTCAATTGATTTATTTTAGCCCAGTCCCTTTGCTTGTTCTAGTTTGTACCGTTTTAGCGGTGCGCTCATGTATTAAACAAAATGAAGCTATGCCCTTTTTATATACCTTAGGACTCGTATTTCTGGCGTACTCAGGATTCTGTATCAGTATTTTTCCTTACATTATACCGCCCTCAATTACCATTTGGGATGCTGCTGCACCTGCCAATAGCCAGCTTTTCGCACTGATTGGGGCACTGATCTTGATTCCAATCATACTGGTCTATACCGCCCTTTCATACTGGGTATTTAGAGATAAAGTTCGTGTTGGGGATGAAGGTTATCATTAAAGGAATTCCTAATGAAATTATCTAAATTTCAATGGTTCATATTGTTATGGCTAGTCGGTTTCTTAAGTTTATTGGTCATTGCTATGAGCTTTAGATTCTTACTTCAACTTGCTTATTAGGTCCTTAGAAAGAAGAGGGTATTTATGCATCTACTTCAACAGCACCATGTGAATTTTAATCATGATTTCCCATATATCGTTAATTTAACATTAGCTCAGGAAATCATTAAGGCACGTAAAAAAATGAATATCTCTCAACAACAGTTAGCATCTAAACTTGGCATATCCCCAAGAACGCTAGAAAGTTGGGAAAGAGGTGTTCGGCATCCTTCAAGTTCGGCGCAAGCTTTAATCAAACTGTTTATAAAGTCACCTCAGTTTGTATTGGAAAATCTTTCTTGAAAACAATTAGCTAGATTTGTGAATAGCTTTTATTAGTAACTTATAAATCATTATGAACCGATACATAACCATAAAAAGTGGTCGTATCGGTTTGGAGAAATATTTATGGTAATTGTTATTACATCACAAAACCGACGTCATATTACTCCCCATGCGGGAAAATGTCGGAAATTCTGGAAATATGAATTAAAAGATAGAGAAGTGACTGATAAACAACTTATTGAAGTTGAAAAGGAGCAATCCTTTTCGCAGTCTGGTGAAGTACTCGAAAAACTGCTGCCTATGGATATATTCGTAACTACGGGAATGGGCGATCAATTACGAGAAAAACTCAGAAATATTGGTGTCCATGTCATGGTAACAGCAGAAATTGAACCAGAACAATTTATCGGTAATTTAATTTCAGCCAAATAAAATTCTGGATGGAAGCTGTAATTTATCATGAACAAAATAAGAAAAGCCTGCAGATGCAGGGTTTTCTTATTTCATTTATTATTGTGAAGTATAAGAACCATCAACAGTATATTGACTGCCGGTCACAAATGAAGCTTCATCAGATAATAAAAAAGCCACTACTTGAGCAACTTCTTCTGGTTTACCCAATCGGCCAAATGGATGAAGTTTCACTAATTCTGATTCCTCAAATTCTCCAATTAATGGGGTTTGAATATAACCAGGGTGGACTGAATTAATGCGTATACCTTGATCAGCGTACTCCAATGATGCAGTCTTTGTCAGACCAGTCACACCATGTTTCGCCGCAACATATCCTGAAATGTTCTTTGTCCCGACTAAACCTAAGATTGATGCGGTATTAACAATCGCTCCACCACCTGACTTAAGTATTGCTGGAATCTGATAATGCAGCCCATAGAAAACAGCATTCAAATTAATATCGATGACTCTACGCCAAGCCTCTATACTCAACTCAGCAATCGGATTGACTTCACCTAAAATACCTGCATTATTAAATGCTAAATGCAGAGCCCCAAAGCTTTCCACGGCAAAGTCAACAGCTTGCTTCATTTCTTCTGGATGAGATGTATCTGTTTTATTCGCAACAGCATGGCCGCTAGCAGCTATAATTTCAGCTGCAACTTTCTCAGCCGCATCAAGATTAATATCTGAAACAACAACTTTTGCCCCTTGTTGAGCAAGAAGCAGCGCTGTACTTCGCCCAATACCCGAACCTGCACCTGTAACTAAAGCCACTTTATTATTAAAACGTGTTGACATCATAAACCTCTCTTTTTTATAAAATGAGCATGTGAGCCATACTCGTGCTTGAAACGTTTTAGACCCTATTTCTGCACTTGAATTGCAAATTGAACTACATGACATTTTCCGTTATGTAACTTGCCTTCATGACGTTCTTGTTCTCCCACATAAAAATGATAAAGATGATCATTTTTAAATACTGAAAGAAACGACATTGGATCGTACAAATAGTTAATATCTTTCGGACCACCGGTTTGATAATCAATCTGCTCTTTAGAATAAAGCTCTCCAATAAACCAGCCATTGTTTGTCAATGCTTGACGTATCCCAGTGAGAACATTGAATTGAGTATTTTCATCAAAATGCCCATACACACATCACATTTTGATAACACTCTCTTGGCCATTCGACATCATTGAGATCAATATTTCTAAGTGTGAATTCAAAACCAGCTTGCTGGGCTTTTGTAGATAAGTGTTGCATAGCAACTTTTGAGTAATCCCATATTTCTGCTGAAAATGAATCATTTTGCTGTTTCGCTTTATTAGCCAAATAAAGGATATTCCTCCCCTCACCCTCTGCTATAGCAAGAGTTTTTCCCACAATTGGAATCTGATCTGCTATCTGTTGAATAAAATGATTGGGCGAAATGCCATACAGATCCTGTGTTTGCGAATAAAGATTATCCCAATGCTGATTCATATCTTTTCCCAATGATTGAAAAAATTAAGCTGTGAATTCTTTAAATGCTTCCAATGCATTAGCGGCATACATCAATGAAGGACCGCCCCCCATATAAACTGCAACACCAAGCACTTCCTCTAATTCTTGCAATGTCATTCCCATTTTGACTAGGGTTCTGACATGAAAACCGATACATCCATCACATCGTGCTGCAACACCAATCGCTAAGGCAATCAGTTCTTTTGTTTTAGGATCAATAACACCATCTCGCATTGCAACTTGTGACAATTGATTAAAACTTTTCATTAAATCAGGAGAATCCTGCGCTAATGTCTTTAAACTGCCTGAAATATTTTGAGTTAATTCTTTGTACTTCATGATTTTCTCACTTGGATATCTATAAACTTAGATTAGACTTAAAATAGGAATCTGGTTATTTCTCTACTGGATAACCCTGCTCTAGCCATGCTTGAAATCCACCCTGAACAGATTTCACCTGAGTAAATCCCATATTCTGTAAAGTATCTGTAGCCAGAGCTGATCGGCCACCCGTCCCACAAATCAAATAAATCGGCTGATCTTTAAGATGTTCTAGTGCTTGCAAGGTATCGCAATGATGGCTCGCCACAGGATGCTGGTGAATTCTCATTTCTAAAACACCACGAGGATAATTCACGGCTCGGTCTATCGCTGCCGCCTGAAATTCATCTGGTTCCCGAACATCAATCAGAATGGTTTTATGGTTTTTCATGGCTTCAAGTAAGTCTGCGACCGTCACTTCTTGAATTCGGTTTTTTGCCATTGAAATTAATTGTTCTGCTGTTTTCATTACTCTTTACCTCTTCCGATCTTTAGAAATCTGGTCTCTGATTAAATATTCATGTCTTTAAAATGCAGTTTTTAAATTTGGCTCTAATCTCTTGCTTGTATTAAGTTATGATGACTGTAGAAATTAAATAAAATGCTACGCTTATGACAGTTATGGCAAAAACCTTTTGGATTTGACTATTCTTAACTAAAGGCATCAAACTTCGACCAATCAACATCCCAGCCATGCAAGCTAAAACGAAAGTCAGCGTGACCGAAACGGGGTATTGAAAACCATCTAAAATATGAGCTGAAATGCTGACACCACCTATCAGGAAAATAATCATCAACGAGGTCGCAACAATACTGCGCATATCAAGATCAGTTACTTTACTCAGTGCTGGAACAATCACGAATCCCCCACCTACCCCAAGCAAACCAGTCAATAAACCTGCCACGACACCAATGGCACCGAGAGACAATGCAGTTTTCATGTTCCAAATCAGACGACCAGTTGTTTGGTTAACTTTACACAGCACACCTGTGTGGTCATTCACTTTTTTAAAAAAAATCCGGTAAGCAACCACGAGCATGACTAAACTGAATGCTAAGGTAAGCCATACAGGAGAAATTATTCCTCCCAGATGCACACCATAACGTGCTGAAGGAATGCTAATCAGTGCAATCCAAAGCGCAGCCCGATAGCGTACTATCTTCTTAAATAAGCCTTCAAATGTTCCAACCAAGGCAGATAAAGTGACTGCAAGCAAGCCAACAGGTGCAGCTTGTGCGACCGTCCATCCTTGACTTGCCATCAGTGCGGGTACGGCCAGAATGCCACCACCAGCACCGGTTAACCCAAGCAAACCACCGATGGCCAGTCCTTCAAGTATTAGCATCCACATCGCTACTGCCCCCCCTCTATTACCAAACCAATTAAACAAAACTTGTTGTTTAATCTTAAAATTTGCCTATTTGAAGTAATTCAGTGGAAGTTTTAAATAAGAAACACCATTCTCTTCGGGTTCAGGGAATTGTCCTGCTTTCATATTGATCTGTATCGAAGGTAAAATCAGTTTGGGCATACTTAAACCCGCATCGCGCTTATTACGCATTTCAACAAAATCATCTTTGGTCGTGCCGTCGTGAATATGGATATTCTGATTTTTTTGAGTCTGAATATCCGTTTCACACATATAGGTATCGCGCTTTTCTGGCAAATAATCATGGCAGAGAAATACACGTGTTTTCTCAGGCAGTTGATACAAACTTTGTATTGAATCAAAAAGAATTGATGCGCTTCCCCTTGGGAAATCACAGCGTGCCGTACCATAATCCGGCATAAACAAGGTATCACCCACAAACACGGCATCACCGATGACATAACTCAGGCAAGCAGGCGTATGTCCCGGTGTTGGAATGTTATAGGCTTTCAATGTTCCGATTTGGAACGACTCATGATCTTCAAATAAATAATCAAAGAGCTGCTGGGCATTCCATTGTTTAATATCCAGATGATAAATCGCACCAAAGGTTTCCTGTACAATGCCAATTTTCTGGCTCATGGCAATTTTGCCACTTAACTCAGCTTTGAGATATTGTGCAGCAGTCAGATGATCAGCATGTACATGGGTTTCGAGAATCCACTCAACCGTTAAACCCTGCTCTTTAATATAGGCAATAATTTTATCGGCATGAATAGTTGATGTACTTGCTGATGCCGGATCATAATCCAGAACGCTATCAATAATGGCGCAGGCTTTGGTCGCAGGATCACGTACAACATAACTGAAGGTATTGGTATCTTCGTGAAAAAAATCTTTTACTATAGGTAAGTTTGACATCGTTAAGCTCCTGACCATTTACGGTGAATCCATACACCCACCAGCATTGCTACAATAAAATAGAGCACTTGATAGTGGCCCAAACCGATCAAGGTAAAACTTGGTGCCGGACAGATGCCGGCAATGCCCCAACCTGCACCAAATAAAACCGCACCCGTGATCAGCTTCTTATCTATCTGATTATTTTTAGGTAAATCAATAGGTTCATTAAATACTGTTTTCGGTTGTGCCGTACGTAATACTTTCTGGAAAGGAATAAAGGCCACCGCAATCGCGCCCATCATGACAAAGGCCAGACTAGCATCCCAGTCACCAAACAGATCCAAGAAATCGAGTACTTTTTCCGGATTGGACATACCCGATACCATCAACCCCACAGAGAACAGTGCACCAAATAAAAAGGCAAACAGATTTTTCATTTTAGAATGCTCCTGTGATATGACGGATAATATAAACAGCGACAAAACCTGCAAACATGAAAGTCATGGTCGCGATGAAAGAACGTTTAGACATGCGACTGATGCCACAAATTCCGTGACCACTGGTACAGCCCGAACCTAAGCGCGTCCCAAAACCCACCAGCAGACCTGCCACAATCATCATCAGTGGGCTGGCATTCAATTCGATTTCAGGTTGTACAAACAGACCATAAATAAACGGTGTGAGGATTAAGCCTGATAAAAACCAGATTGCAGGAGTTTTAAACATGGTTTTTGAGTTTAATACTTGCCCAATCAAACCACTGATACCTGCAATACGGCCATTGACATAAAGATAGCCAACCACGGAAAGCCCGAGCATTAAGCCGCCAATAAATGCGATGAGGAAGTCATGCATGATGAATTAATCCCTACATAATATACATTTTTATATTATATAATGAAAAATATTAATCAAGCAGTTTTATGGTAAATTATGTAAACTGCACGGGCTACATCAAAAGTTGTGAGGACATTTATGGATATGATTGCTGAAAATGCCAAAATTGATTTTTCTCAAGTCGATTTCGTCAGCCAATGCCTGAAAGTTTTGGCCAATCCTGATCGCCTGAAAATCTTATGTGTCCTGGTGGATGGGGAAATGAATGTTCAGGAAATTGAAGAGTCCACTGACATTCATCAACCTACACTTTCACAACAACTGACTGTCCTACGTAAGGCTGACATGGTCAGCACACGACGTGAGGGTAAACAGATTTTCTATCGTCTGAGTGATCCCAAGGTCTTAAGCTTGATGCAAAAGCTGTACGAGCTGTATTGTGCGAATTAATCCGCTTAGTACAGCTAAAAAGAAATGATCAGAAGCAGTAAACCTTTGTTTTTTTAAATACTCTTAATATTGAAAAATCTTGTACTCATTTTTTCTCTAGATTAGATTTAGTGAACTAAATCTGAAAAATATTTTATTCAAATTACACAGGGTTGTAATTTATCGATTTACAAGTTTGTTCTTATATCGTGCTAGAATTTTGATGTCTACTCAATGTTTTGAACTGCTTTTACCAGAAGAGTGATCTACATTCCGGCTCATTCCATCTCGTGTTTGGAATCACTCTGAATTCTCCCATCCACCAAATTAATGGTTCGATCACAGGTTGCCGATAATCTAGGATCATGAGTCACCAATAAGACTGCACAGTCATGTTCGCGATGTACTTTACGAAATAATTCAAACATTTCCGCAGCAGTTTGAGTATCCAGATTACCTGTCGGTTCATCGGCCAACAATAGTGCAGGCTGAGTAATCAGTGCACGTGCAATCGCTACGCGTTGCTGCTGCCCTCCAGAAAGCTCATTGGGTTTACGGTCAGCGAACTTATCTAACCCTACAGCGGCCAATAATTCATGGGCATATTGCAACGCAGATTGATCTGGCTTACCTTGCTTCAGCATTAATGGCATGAGTACATTATGTAAGGCAGTAAAAGCCTGTATAAGATGATGGAACTGAAACACAAAACCTATACTATTGCCTCGTAATGCTGTCCGAGCCGTATCATCCATACGGCTTGTCGCCTGCCCCAACAAGTACAACTCACCACGACTAGGCTGATCTAATAAGCCGAGAATATTCAGTAAAGTACTTTTGCCTGAACCAGAAGGACCAATTAATGCAGCAAAGTCATTCCGTTGAATACACAGGTCAATTCCATGTAATACCTCCACTTCATTAGGCTGCCCAACATTGTAGGACTTTCGCAATGCTTCTAAACGCAGTACTTCCTGAGATGGATCAAACATGACGAATTGCCTCCACAGGATCAAGTGCAGCAGCCCGACGGGATGGTATTGCAGCAGCCAAAACACCTGTCAGTGTCGCCAAGAATAATGCCGACAAGATAAGCTTGATTGAAATCGAAATATAAAACAAGCCGGGACCAAACTGGTTAAATCCCCAGATCAAACCATAATTGACTACACTACCAAGCATCGAACCAAGCAGACCAAAAATTGCTCCCTGAAACAAGAAAACTCTTAAAATTTGCGCTTGTGTCGCCCCAGTCGCACGTAAAATACCGATTTCCCGAGTCCGTTGCACCACACTCACCGACATCACACTCGCAATGCCAAAAGCGACTGAAATCCCTACAAAAACAATAATCATGTTGGTCGAAAGACTTTGAGCGGTAATCGCATTCATTAATTGAGCATTGGTTTCAATCCAGCTTTCTGCTTTTAATCCTGTCAGGCGTCCAACTTGTGAGGCAATTTGATCCGCCTGAAAAATATCCTGAATCGTCAGATCAATCACGGTCACGCCACCTGGCAAATTAAGTAAAGATTGCGCCTGTTTCAAATCCAGATAGACATAGCGCGCATCCAATTCACGCACGCCCAGTTCAAATATTCCAGAGATATTCACCACTGCATTTTTCTGTTGCCCAGTATCTAACCTTAATTTGCTCCCGACTTGCACACCCAAATCTTTGGCCAATTGACGCCCAATTAATACATTATCCGCACTGACCCGTAATTCACCACTCACCATATATTGCTTTAACGGAATAATTTGTTGATAACGTTCAAGATTGATACCAACCAAAGCAACCGATTGAATCGCCTCTCCACGCTGTACAAATGCAGGACCAGAGACCACAGGAGAAACCGCCGTCAACACGGGCAACTGATCTAAAGTCTCAGTAATCTGCTGCCAATTATTAATAGAGCGTAAGCGTTGCGCACGCTGATCTTCTTGTAACAACTGAAGTGTTCCTGCTGCTGGTGGCACAATGTGATTCACCTCATCTGGTGAAAGCAAACGAATATGCGCCTGCGTCCCTAAAGTCCTTTCTACAATATTCGATTGTAAGCCCTGAATTAAGGCGCTAATGAACACAATGACTGCCACCCCCACCGCGATGCCAATGGTAATCATCATCGACTGTGTGCGACCCTCTCGCAGAAAACTGATTGCGATAGTCCACTCTGTCCAAAGTCGCCCAAAAAAGTTTTTCAATCGAATTTCACCGGTAATTCGTTTTTGCTATTTGTCGGATCCGTTTGACTCTGCAAAACACGTTTAGTTTGCTCTATTCGGACACGAGTTCCATCTTTAAGCACTGATTCTGCATCGGTAAGGACGTGATCACCTTCTTTCAATCCAGCTACAACTTCCGACATGACCAAACCACGTAAACCCAGTGTGATGGGATGACGTTGAATTTTTCTATCTCTTACTAAAATAACCATAGCCTTGTTTCCACTTATACTGCTTAAAGCATCATTTGGAATGACCAGGGTTCGCTCGCGCTTGTTGGTTTCAACATTTACCGATACCGTCATGTCTTGACGCAAAAAATCAGGGACTGGATCAACTGTTAATCGAACGTCTACTGTGCCACGTTGAGCATCAATACTTGGGGCAATAAAATTAATATGGGCAGGAAAAGGTTGATCTGGATAGGCATCCGTAATCACTGCTGCTTTTTGTTGTAAAGCCAGCAGTGGTAAATTTCGCTCATCAAATGGCACTCGTATTTCAGTCGCACCATCCAGTGCAATAGTGAAGAGAGTCTGACTCGGTTGTACCAAATCCCCTGGCTCAACATTACGGGTTAAAATAATACCTGAAACTTCTGCGCGAATTTTGGTCTTGGCGAGTTGCGCTTGTAATGCAGCGAGTCGTTCACGTAATTTTGTCTCTTCAACTTTATCTGGGGCAAGTGAAGCAACTTTTAATCGAGCTGATTCCAAATTATTACGGGCGAGTTTTTCTGCCTCTATCGATTTCTCCCTTTCCTCTGCTGATAATATTCCTAATTCGGTATTTCGTCTGCGTACCGCCTCTCTTTGAGCCTGTTCTAATTGCACTTTGGCATTCGCTAAATCGACTTCTGCTTGCGGACGTCTAGTGGTTGCGAGTTCCTTTAATTCAGCTTCTGCCTGCCGCACCTGCGCTGAAATTTCATCAGA